TGCTGGGTCTGCTCCCTGCTGGTCTTGTAGTCTCTGCTAAACTCCACCAGATAAATTCTGATCTGTTAGACTTGTAGACTCCACCAGAAGCTGCCCAGCTAGATGTTGTCATCTCTGACTGATGCTGTTCGGCCATAGTCTTCATTGTATGCTCTTTCTTGCTCAACTAAAATCTGACTATACCTTCTTCCAGGCAGATTTCTGGTGCTGCCATACTCCTCCATCTTCTTCACCCTCCCTGACCCTGCCACGCCCCCCCCCTTTGTTATTTAGAAAAAGCAGAATCCTTTGCCTGGGAATCAGCAAAAAACTACCTTTCAGATTCTCCTGCTTTAGTCCTTCAGAATTTTGGTTACTAAGGCCTCTCATCTCCCCAGCAGGAGCTTCTCAGTCCCAGGTGTCAAACCCTTTTCCTCTTTCTTTTCTATTTTTGGTTACAAGTGATGGCTCACCAGAAGAGGGAAGTGATGAATATTTTCAGAAATGAAGGTGACAGCAAAAACAAAAGACATCAATTCTAAAAGAACAAAGAGCAGTCCCCCTGTCCCCAAAGCTGGCTAATTTTCTCAGGCTTAGCCTTTTTTTCTTCTTCTCCAATTCTTTGTCCTGGTCCAGGGATTTGAATGTCTATGTCAGAGACTTCATCTTGGTTTATTTTGAACATTTTGTGTATCTCTTAGTTTTCAATCTCTTCAGAGTACAATATGAGCCAGGTGTTCACGCAATTTATCTAGTAACTCCCAAATATTACTAGGGTTTAGGATTCTTCAGTTTTTAAACCCTAATTCTCTTCCACTCTTTCATGAAGAGTAGGCAGAAAAGAGACACAGACACAAGCTAAGTCCAGGGGTCAATGCCCCTGTTTCCTCCCAGCTTCACTTATCTTCCTGGCCTTTTCATATGCAGAATAAGGCAACCTAAAGCTCAGAGGAGATTTGGGATGCTTCTTTATACTAATGCATCAATTCATATATAACTAGAGATTAAATGGATAGAGACTATCTATGCCAACACTCATTGTAAAGATGAGGAAATTAAGATCCAGAGGAATCAAATGACTTGCCCAAAATCACACAGCCTACTGACAGAGCTGTATCAAAACTTGCAGAGCTAGGATTTTGAACCATGCCCTTTGACTCCAATCTATGCTCTTTCCACTACCCTATTTCTAGCAAGATATAATGCTTCTGAAAATAAAAAAGTAAGATATTGGTTCTCAAACTTAGTTTTCCCTAACCTGCCCCTTAACCTAGAAGCACTTCTTTCCACATCATGCTGCCTCTTAGGAGAGAGAATACAATTTGCAAGCAGCCTTAATTCCATTCCACAATGATGACGACTGGTCCACCTGGCTCCTAGACTTTTATTGTATTTTCTGTTTTCTTTCTTTGCCCCCACCCCCCAAGTCCATTGTCAAGCTCCATTTCCCCTTTCTGAGCTTTGGCTCTGATTCACTTCCCTTTTTTGCCATTATTTCTCTAACCAACGGACAGTGAGATGGGAGAGGAGAAATGTCTGGGGAAAGGATGAACATTTAAAAAGGTTCTAGAGTAATATAAATGGTTGGTAGAGTTTGGCCAACACATTCTTCTTCCCAGAAACCCCCAGGCTGACTTAAGGGATTGAGTTATCCCCATTCTTCTTCTGCTCTCTACTTTTCCTCTCTCTTCCCTTCTTATCCAGCCACATTCCTTCTGAGGGAAGCAAAAGCAGCTTCTACTTTCTCAAATTTTACATGTTTCCTGTGGTAAAGACTTAAAAGTTTTTCTTGAAAATCATGAATTGGATAAGTTTCAGTGGTCCTATTATGAGGTAATAATAATAGCTCCAATTTCCATATAATTTTAAGATTTACAAAGAACTTTTCTCACCAGTGCTGGAGTCAGGCAGACTCATTCGTGAGTTCAAATCTGGCCTCAGACACTTGCTAGCTACATAACCCTGGGCAAGTCACTTAACCCTGTTTGCTTCAGTTTCCACATCTGTAAAATGAGCTGGAGAAGGAAATGGCAAATGATTCTAGTATATTTTCCAGGAAAACTCCAAATAGGCTCATGAAAAGTCAGACACTACTGAAACGACTCAACAATAAAAAACAAATGAGAAAATCACTGATCAAGAATATCCTCCACAGCATCTCCTCCCCCAAAGTTCAAAGACCTCAAACAACAGGAAATTTACTTCCTCTCTAGTCAGTCCATTCTTCCTTTGCTCAGGTCATATTGTCAGGACATCGTTTTCTTTATTGAGTTAATATCTCAATACCTCCTATCGTTCCTTGTTTTATGCTCTGGGATGAAGCAAAAATAACTTTAATATTTCTTCTTCATGACAGCCCTTTAAATACTTGCAGACAAGTATTTATTTATATATATATGTATTTGTATGTATGTGTGCATGCATGTGGTTTGTGCTTCACTTTTGAAGAGGATCATGACATATCTTGGATATCAGAACACCAAGGGCCACGTCTGCAAAGCTTCTCTTATGTGGATGATAGAATGTCTCAGCAAGGAGCAGGTGCTGACCCTGAGAAGATTGAAGTACCTTCATCTAGTCATGTTAGAAGAATTATTCCTCAGCTTCAGTGGCTACTTTTGGAAATCTTTGAGGTGCTGTAGCACCAGTGAAGAGCCCTCTAATCATCTCACTTGGGAGTATATGATTGAAAAGAACCAAAAGCGAAATGGAAAGGGGCTACCTGTCCTTAATCCTCTGATACTAACTCTAGGTCATTAGTCCATCCACAAATTAGAGTTCTTATCCTTGCAGTAGGCTATTCTAAATCAGTGCTGAGATTATATGAGTGGAGCTTGATTCTAATGAATAGCAAGCAGCCTATTGACTCATTTTCTCCAATATAAAGGTAAATGCTTCCAGCAAGTAGCCACCTGCTCTTCAATTTATGATCTTAGAACCATACCTGGGGCAATGAGAGGTTAAGTCTTGCCCATAGTTACAATGAGTAGCATATGCCAGAAACAGGGCTTCAACTTGAGTCTGAGTTTCCTGACTCTGTGGCTGGCACTGTATATATAATACTATGCTGCTGGTGAGGAGATCCTACACTGAACAGAGGATTGGACTAGATGTCCTAGGTGAATTTGCCAGCTCCCATGGATTCAGTGATCATCTCCATGATGATGAGTCTCCAATCTACTTATCCTGCCTTTTGTATGGATCCCTCCAAGTGCCACCAAATTGCTCTTTGGTAGCTAAGGTATCACAATGCCTCTAGTTCAAATGACAGGGGTTATAATCAACAATAAGTTGAGAATTTGCCTATCCTTACCCTTTTCTGACCCCTCCACCTCCTCTTTCCTTACTTCCTCAGGACTTCATGTCAAGGAAACAGCTTTGGATCTCTGTGGATAGTAAATATTGTTACTTTTCCTCTAGTGTGATTTTCCTGACTCCATTAGGGGAAAAAAGGCAGCAAATTGCATCTGGGGGTATGGATCAAGTAAAGTAGAATTCTTAACACATACCTCACTGAAACTCTTTCCTGAAATTTTGCTATTTGAAAAGACCTGATCTAGCTCAAAACTTTCATTTTATACATAAGGAAACTGGGACCTAGAGAGGGGAAATTATTTGTTGAACATCACACAGATATTAAGTGTAATTAAACTGTCAACCAATTGATCAATAACTATTTATTAAGTGACAGCTATGTACCAGAAACTGTGCTAGGTGTGGGGAATAAAAGGACAAAAATGAAACCTTCTTTATCCTTAAGTAGTTTACCTTTTCTTGGAAGGCATTTATATTCTATGGGGAAAAATAGCTATTCACATCTAGAACTTATTGATTCAAAATCCAGTGCACTTTCCCCCATAACCATCTTTCAGGCTGGTGTCCACAACATTGTGGATGTCAGAGCTGGAACTGAATGTAATATAGGAAACAGGGGAAGACTTCTCAAATTTATACAGTGAAAAAATTTTTTTCTTCCAGCGATTTTTACTGAGCAGAATAAGCCTAGAAAGGAAAATTCTCACTTTCCTCATCACCAAAAATGCACTTTCACAAGACCATCATCAGTTAGGGGAAAAAAGAAGTTACACAATCTTGGAATACAGGATGTAAAAGCTAAAGAGAACCCAAGAAAATAAAATATAGAAGGTCAAATTTTGCGGGCACTTTGCGAAACAGAAAAGAGAACTTTTGAACCCAGAAGGAGTTTTAGAGTAATATAGACTACCAGAGATGAAAAGGTCTCTAGAAGATAGAATCTAGAACAGATTCAGAAGGGAATTAAGGGATAAATTATCAAATTGTTGTTGATGAGTCATTTCAATCCTGTCTGACCCTTTGTGACCCCATTTGGGGTTTTCTTGGCAAAGATACTGGGGTGGTGCTTTACCATTTCCTTTTCACTCATTTTATAGATGAGGAACTGAGGCAAACAAGGTTAAATAACTTGCCCAGTGTCACACAGCTAGTGAGTATCTGAGGTCAAGTTTGAACTCAGATCTTCCTGACTCCAGGGCTGGTGCTCTAGCTACCGCTCCACCTATTACACCGTAACAGTTATAGTATTGAAAATATCTTAAAAGTAGTAGTAGCAACATATTCTTTATAATATGGGATAGTTCCCTGGGAGGGGAGAGGAGGAATTCTGGGGGAAATTTAGGCTATATAAAGCAGAGGATATCAACATATTTTTTAAAAGTAGCTCCAGTATAATCATTATCAATATTTTTGGGGAGAGAGGTTCTATTCACTATACTAAGCATATTATAACTTCAAATCTTTTCCACTATCTATCAAGCGGTCCAGGACTAGTCTTCATCCCCTACTCCCAGCATGTCCCAAAGTAATAGCCAAATCATAAAACACTCATCCATTCCTCTGTTCCTCGTTCTCCCCAGCTGTTTTCTTGTGTCACCCTGGCTCCTGATATTCATAGCAAACCACAAGTCTTCTTTGCTCATTCCTTTCCGAAAACTTAATGCTCCAAACCTTCAGTAGAGAGTGTCATCACCTCAGAAAAAGAGATGGCATGGAATGGAAGCAGCCAAGAGATACTTGTCTCCTGGGGCCTACAGACCCAGATGTACATGGTAAGGTGAAGGGGGCTAAGGGACAGCAGGCCTTTAGAGAAGGCTTTATATGGGTAGGAAAGGGGGAGTGCTGAAGTAGAGAACAGGGACTGGTGCATCTGGGGTCTAAAAAGAGAGAAGAGAATTTCTAGAAGGACAGTCCTATTTTCAACACTCAGCTAAATATTGAGAAACCCAAAGGAAATTCATGACCCATCTTCTTTTACCATTTTCACCACCATCCTCATTATCCTCACAATCTGTAAACATCTATTGCATATTTACTCTGCACTATAGAGTAGCCAAAGGAGCATAACGAACAGTCCTGTCCTTGAGAGGCTCAACAATCAAGTTGGGGAGGACATAGACTTAAGACAAATAATTAAAATGCATAGAGAGTTTTTGCTAAATGCCTTAGGAATGAATGGAAGACATAAGGCATAAGTCCTGGCAATGTTACATACTTGATGTGTGATCTTGGGCAGGCTATTTCCAATCTCTGAGCCACAGCTTCCTTTCTCTTGACTTAAAAAAATAGTAGTTGTCCCTTCCACATTGTAGGGGTTATGAGAATGGTGCCCCCCATTATCTGCATAAAATTCTTTGACCTCTTGTTATTAGAAAAGAAGTCTGAATTATTATATTAAAAGATAAAATATGTTAAATTATATAATATTATACACATATTTTATGCATTTTTGAATTTCTAAACTTTTTCCATGTTGTCTTCATGTGTTGTCTCCAGCTTCCACAAAACTCCCCCCAAATTCCCATTTAATTTCTTATGCTGACCTGCTATAGATCAAAACCATGGGGAAAGTTGTGATGTGGAAAGGATAACTATATTGATGTATTCTGTTTTTATATGACATTGGTTTCCCAACATAATCTTCCTCCTCTTTCTTCCCACCTCCAGCTTCTGTAAGATAAGGAATAATAGATTTAAGAGTTGAAAGGAATCTCTTCATAGGTCATCTTTTCCAATGTGTACCTGAAAAAAAAAGGGTCTTTTCAACAACATATATGATAAGTGGTCCTCTAGCCTTTGCTTAGAGAATCCAACTGAGGAGAGACCTTCCCACCTCCTGAGTATGTCCATTTTACTTTTGGATACTCGTATTGTTAGGAAGATTTCTTTATATTAAGCTGAAATGTATCTCTTAGCATCTTCCACCTATTCCTGCTGTCTTGGAACAAGCAGACCATGTACTGATTGTCCTTTTCCATTAGAGAGAGCTTCAAATACTTAAAGATGGCTAATCTTGTTTCAAAGTTTTCTCTACTCCAGAAAAAAAATGTCCCCAAGTCCTTCAATTAATTCTCATGTGACATAACGCAAGTCCCTTCAACATCTTAATTGACATTCTTATAGATATCGCTTCCCAAAATGTGTGCACAAAACTAAACACAATATTCCAGAACACTCCAGATGTATTGTGATCAAGGAAGAGTCACAAGGAGTAATACCTCTGCATTCTTGGAAGCTATGCCTCTCTAAATTTATCCTATGATCAAATTTACATTTTGGAAATAGAGTTGCTATACTTAACTGTTAAATTATATTAAACTCGTGATCCAAAAGACTCTCAGATTTACTTAAACTTCTAAAAATTTATTTTTTTTCAAGAAGCAAAATTCTGCCTTTTCTTCTTCTCACCTTTTTCAGACCCCATTGAGAAAGAAAAACACACAGATGCACACACACACACACACACACACACACACACCCTGCTATGAACACGTATAGTCAATTAAAACAAAATTCCATGTTGGCTATGTCAAAAACAATATGTCTCCATCATCAATTTAAATCTTTCAAAGCTGCTTGTCTTCACAATGTTTTTATCATATAAATTGTTCTTCTGATTCTGCTCACTTCAGTTGGCATCAATTTATACAAAATTTCCTGACTTTCTCCAAAATTATCCCCTTTATCATGTCATTCAAAAATTTAGAATTCCATCATATTCATATACTTTAACTCGGTCATTCTCCAACTAATGGTCATCCCTCTAGTTTTGAATACTTTGCCACCACAAAAAGAGTGGCTATAAATAGTTTTGTACATATAAGTCATGTTCCTCTTTCTTTCATTTCTTTGGGATTTGACCTAGTATTACTGGGTCAAAAGGTATGAAGAATTTAATAACTTTGGGGCATTGTTTCAAATTGCTTTCCAGAATGACTGGGCCAGTTCACAGCTCTATCAAGAGTTTGTTATGATAGCCTCTCTGATATTTGCCATTTTGGGGTCAATACCTGAGAGCTATTTTATTTGTATTTCTCCAATCATTAGGGATTTGGGTAATTTTTTAAAACATGGCTATTCATAGATTAAATATCTTTCTCTCAAAATTGTCTATTCATATCCTTTGATCATGTATCACATACTCCCAGATTTCTTTCAGCAGAACTACTATCTACATGTACCCCATCTTGTACTTATAAAGTTGATTTTTTGAACTTGTATATGGCTTAATATTTATCCCAACTAAATTTTCTTTTTTGATATGGTTCAATGTTCTAGCCCATTAAGATATTTTTGAATCCTGGTTCTCTTATACAGAGCTAACTATCCTTTCTATCTTTATGTCTTCTGCTGATTTGATAAATGTACTGTCTTTGTCTTTAAGTTATTGGTAAAAGTATCAAAGAACTCAGAGGCACACACATATTTTAGAATCCTTTCTGGATGACATCAACCCATTAATAATTACTCTTCAGGTTAGGTTATTTGACCAATTTCAAATCCAACCAGTCACATTATCACTTAGCCTGTATCTCTGCATTTTCTGCAACAATAGCAGGAGAGACTGTCAAATTCTTTGCTAAAATATAGATAAGTTATATATACAGCTTTTCCTTAATCTATTTGATAAGTAACCCTGTCCAAAAAAAAAGAAAGAAAATAAATTTAGCCTGGCATGGTTCCCCCAACCCAAAAAATCAGGATATATTGATAATTGATATTTAATTTTTTTAACATCATGATCATTTCTGCAGCCCTAGAGTCAAGAGGACCCAACTTTAAATCTGGCCTCAGATACTTACTAACTGTGTGACCCTGGGTGAGTCACTTAACCCTGTTTGCCTCAATTTCCTCATCTGCCAAAATGAGCTGGAGAAGGAAATGACAAATCACTCCAGTATCTTTGCCAAGAAAACCCCAAATGCGGTCATGAAGAATCAGACACAACTGAAACGACTCTACAGCAACGTTTCTGGATATATTCACCAGTACCTTTGTGCCTTCCTTTAAAAAAATTATGAATATTTTTTGTTTTTTTTATCACTTTCATTTCCCAATAAATCCCTTCCCCTCCATCCAGAGAGCCATCTCTTACAAAAACAAAACTAAACTTAAAAAAATAAAATAAAATGCAATTTAGCAAAACTAACCAACACATTAAAATAAGCCTGACAGTGCATGCTTTCTTCCTCTTCTACAATCCTCCACCTCTGCAAAGAAAGGAGGGAAGAACATTCTCTTAGCTCATATTCCATGTCAGCCTTGATCATTATAATTACACAACATTCAGAATTATTATTGTTATTGTCTTTTCCATTTATGTTTTTGCTATCATTTTATATATTATTTTCCTGGTTCTGTTTATTTCCCTTGGCATTAGTTCATATGTCTCCCTTTGCCTCCCTGCATTCTTCACATTCATTCTTTTCTTATGTGGCAGAGATATTCCATTACATTCTTATGCTAAAATTTGTTTATCTATTTCCCATTTAAAGGGCATTCAATTTGTTTCTGGTTCTTTCACATGAAAAAGGTGAGATACAAATGTTTTGGTGCATATTGGACCTCATTTTCCATTTTTGGGAAATGTGCCTAGCTGTATGGCCTTCTCTTTTGACCAACAACAATAACAACAAAAACAAAACCCAAAAACCAATTCATCAAAACCAGAGACAAAATAACTGCATATAACAGCATATGCAACACAACATACCTGTAGTTCCCACCTCTCTTTTGAAGGAGGGGCATGCATTTCATCATCTGTTCTGAGACCAACATTAGGTGTATTCTATTTTGTATTAATCTATGCTGTCTTTCTGAGATCACGATTTCCTTTTCTCAATATTCACCAACCATTCCAATAATCATAATAACTATTATTATTATTGTAGCTTACATGTATATAGCATTTACTGCCTGCCAGTCACTGTGCTCAGCTTTAAGAACATTATCTCATTTGATCCTTGCAACAGCCCTGGGAGGCAGGTACTGTTATTATTCTCCTTTTATAGATGAGAAATGGATGCAAACTAAGTTTAAGTGACTTACCCAGGGTAACATAGCTAGTAAGTATCTGAGGTTGGGTTTGAACTCAGATTTTTCCTAACTCTGGGCCTGGCATTCCATTCATTCCTCCACCTAGCTGCTCTGTGTAATTATACATTCCAGAATCTTTTTCAGGAATTGACATTAAACTCACTGGCCTAGAATTTGTAGTATTATTACAAAAGTAGAATTGCACTATATCTTTCTTCTATATAGAAATCTGGATGACATTTGCTGTTTTCTAATCCTGCAGTAAGTCTCTTACTCACCAGAACATTTCAAAGATCGCTGATGGGAACTTAGCAATCGTATCTATCATGTCCAGTACTTTTTCTGGATCAGATGACATATTTTTAAAAGGCAGCTAATCCCTCTTTGTATCTTCTTACCTATCTTGGATATCAACTCCCTATTATCTATTTCTATTCTGCTGGCAGAGAAAAAAGAAGCCTAAGAAAAATCCAGCAGCTCTGCCTTCTTGCCATCATTAGTTATTGGCATTCCACCTGAACTGAGCAAGAGTCCTCTTGCTTCTTGGATCCTGCCCTTTCCCCTAAACTAGCTAAACATTTCCCTTTTGTTATTCCTTAGTTTTTTATCAGCTCAGTTTCAAGTGTATCACTTATGACACTATTCTTAAGAAAACTATTATTTTCTTCCTCCTTGAGAGCTGAGACTGTCTTGGTTGTTTTATTTATTTGTTTGTTCATTCATTCATTCACTTATTTATATCCCCAGTGTTTAGCATAATGTTTGACACATAGTAAATGCTTTTTCATTCATTTGTTCATTCACTCATTTATTCACTCTAACATCTTTATCTCTTCTAATAATCTAAGTTCTGTTTAATTTCTCCTTTCAGATCTACTATTTTATAGCTTATGTTCAAAGGGGTCTTCTAGCTCTGACATTCTGTGTTTGAAAATATCTTCTAATGTCCTTTCAAGTTCTAATATTATGTGGTGAAAGGTCTTTTCCATTTTGGACATTCTATTTTTTGAAATTTTAGAATTCTGTTCATCTCTAACATTCATATCTAATTTAATTTCCCACTCTAAATATGTTCTGTTCAATGTTCTAAGATCCTTTTAAGCCTTAATTTTTGAAATTTTGATTACTCTCAGATCTTACATTCTCTCTTTTTCATTATATGATTCCTTCTAGTTCTAAAATTCTATGTTCTTTGTTCAAAGGTCTCTCTGGCTCTCAAATTCTATTATGCATGTTCTAAGGATCTTTTTATTTCTACAACTCTGTCTTCTAAGTTTTCAAGTGCCTTCCATCCATGCCATTCTATATTCTAGGTTTCCTTCTAACTCTGACCTTCTTAGATTCTGTATTCACAAATACCTTCTAGTCCTGATGGTTTATATCACATTGCACAGTCTTTCTAGCTATAACTTTCTATGTGCTGTGTTTCTTAGGTCCCCTCTGCATTCAAATTCCATCACCCATGTTTTTAAGCTCTTTCTAGTTCTAATATTGTCATTTATGTGTGTGCCTTAAGATCTTTTCTACCTTTAACCATTATGCTTTAATGTCCCTTGCAACTGACATTCTGTGTTCTATGTTCTAAGGCCCTTTCGAGCTACACCCATCTGTGCTTTAATTTCTCTAGAAGTCTTTTTTTTTCTTGTTGTTTTTGGTTGGGCAATGGGGTTGAGTGACTTGCCCAGGGTCACACAGCCAGTAAGTGTCACGTGTCTGAGGCTGGATTTGAACTCAGGTTCTCCTGACTCCAGGGCCAGTGCTCTATCCACTGTGCCACCTAGCTGCCCCCAGAAGTCTTTAAGGAAAATGTTATTTTCATCCTTGACTTCTGAGTGCCTCAAATATATTCTGCACTGTTGTTAGGAGGATTACTTCTACAGCTTATACACACACACTCACACACACACACACACACACACAGTATTTTATTGCTACAAAGCTTTCCTCCATGCTACCTCATTTGGTTCTCACAACAGCTCTGAGTGAAGTAGTTTAGGAGTTATCATCCCCATTTCACAGATAAGGTAACAGATTCAGAGAATTAAAATATCTGACATGAAGTTAATCTATGACAGGTGAGCTACATCAGCCTCAAAGTCAGGTCTACTGAGTCCTTTGCTCTTTCTTTTTGATTACACTCATGATAGACTGGATTTAAACTACTCTTTTCCTCATACCACTTGGAGGACAGGAAACAGAGATAAGCACCCCAGAATTCTTATATGAGGGAAGAAACAAGTGGGTGAGAAGCACTGAGTGGGAATCTGATTTGTTGGTGCATGAACAGGAATGAGCTGTGTCTGTTACAGGTCCTTCCCAGGGAGAACATGACAATGTTGCCTCAGGATAGCTCCTTAGAACCATCAGACACAGCTGTTGGCTCGCCTCACCAAGCTTGGGCTGCTTTTAACATCCTATGTGTAATCATCCTTGGAATAATGTTCATCATGGGTACAGTTGGTAATGCATTTGTCATCTGGGTGGCTGGTTTCCATATGCCTCATACCGTCAACACCGTGTGGTTTGTCAACCTTGCTATTGCTGACTTTGCTTTCTGCCTCTCCCTACCCCTCAACATGACCTTTGTGATCCTGCATAGACAGTGGCCATTTGGTAGGGCTCTCTGCAAACTCCATAGTGCCATTAATAACCTCAACCTCTTTGCCAGTGTCTTCCTAGTGTCCCTCCTTTCTGTGGACCGCTGTATCACTGTCTTTTGGCCACTTTGGGCCAGTAAACCCTGAAGGCCATGCCTGGCAGCCTTTGGGGCTCTGGGAGCCTGGATCATGGCCCTTGCCTTCTGTGGTACCTCACTGGTGATCAAGGACACAATTACACACCAAGGTATCACCTACTGCTACAACAACTATGATATCTGGAACGAAACTCATGGGAGCCATGAGTTATGGCAGAAGATCACTATCCCCTGGTACCATGCCCTTATCATCATCCGTTCAGTATGTGGTTTTATGGTGCCAGTGGTTGTTATTGGGGTCTGTTATGGCCTGATAAGTGCCAAGCTTTGGCAGAATCAGCTTGCATCGTCCAGTTGGCCCTTTTGGGTCCTCTTGGCTGTGGTTGTTGCCTTCTTCCTCTGCTGGCTGCCCTTTCATGTGCTCCAATGGGCAGAATTCATTTCCTTGTTGAAGAACCATCAGGTCCTCTATACCATGGTCCAACACCTGGGCACAATTGCCACCTCCCTGGCCTTTCTGAATAGCTGTCTCAACCCAGTGCTTTATGTTTTTATTGGGCATGATTTTCATGAGCAGTTGCTCCACTCCCTGCCAGCTGCCCTGGAACGAGCCTTGGCTGAGGACAAAAGACATCCCTGCCACAGGTCACAAGAATGGAAGGTGCCCTTGGACCCTGTCTCTACCCCATCTCTACTTGTATCTAAGTTTACAAGGCCAAAAGATCACTATCAAAAATCATCTGTAGCAGGCAACGTATGACTTTCAAGACTCATTGGACACTGATCAGAGTACCCTGTACCCCAGAGCAAGTTTCCCCTCCCTTTGTAACTCTAAATTTCTTCATCTGCAAAATTATAGGGTTAAACTAGATAATTTTTAAGGTCTTGTTCAGTTTTACATGGTTGTGATCCTATGACATTACCATGCAAAAGATTGAGAGCAATTCAGGGAGAGTTGAATAAGATACAGTCCTTCCTTTAAAGGAATTCTCAGGATCCTTAAGAGAAGGATCATAGGATCATAAAAGTATAGCTGCAAGAGGCCTTAGAGATGCTTTAGTCCAAGGATGCTTAACTTTAAGTCCATGAACCCTTAAATATTCCATAAATAGATTCAAGGCTATCCATGGGAAAAAATATTTCCTTATTTTAACATGACATTAGATGACAAAATCAGGATCCAAAAATATTTCTACAGAGATATCTAATAAGATGTAAGAGGAGACCTGGAGAGATAATAGTTCTTTTGAAAAGAGTTGGAATTTTTACTAGACTGCAAACTCAAGATGATCAAACTGGGTAATATGGCAGCTAAAAAAAAAAAAGTCAATGTGGGAAGGTATAAGAAGGAGAGAAAATAATTACTTGTTAATTTTTAAAAAGTAAAATAAAATAAAATACATTAAAAAAGCTAATGCAACTTTATGCTACATTAAAAGAAACATAAATAGGGCTCAGAATAAGGGAGATAGTCCTGTTCTATTCTGCTCTGGATGTAGATTTTTTTACTGACTTCATTGATTATTTATATGATAGAATATTCTCATTTCTTGAGCTTTGCTTTTTTACTTAAGAACCTGCTTCCCAGAGAGAAGATTCCATTAGCTCTTGTCTCTACTTTCCTTCACAGTGATACATGTGACTTTACATACGATATGACCCAATTCCTCCATTCTGAAACTAATGTGCACAAAGATTTTCAGTTAAATGTATAATTGTCTTTCTGTTCTTCCTTCTATATAAAAACACTCATCCTATTTGGTATTTGTTAATCTCAAAAATAAAAAAGTTAAAAAATATAGCTAAAGATATGGTGTATAAGTTCACCTCAGGAGATAGAAAGCATATAGTGAGGCTGGGAGCAGATGTATTGGCACTCATGCCTAACTAAATCATGTTTAGAATCATTGCTGACTACACACACATGCACACATGCACACACACACTATATATGTATATGTATATATACACATATATATATTGCATATATGTTTTATAGGTATACATGTATATGATAAATCTTGGGTAGAGCCTAAATTAAGGGGCAAATTTTAGTCTAGATTACTGATTGTTAAATCATTCATGAGTTGTGACTATTTGTGATGTAACTGTAAGAAAAGTACCCATGTATACAAAATCTGATTCTTTTATCTCTCCCAGTGCCAAGCACAGGGTTATATGTATAGGAGGTGCACAATAAATGTTCCTTGAACTGAATCACTTTCTCTTCCAATTTCTAAGTCCTTGGCATAAGGTTTCTTCTGTAAACCACAACCCTGAAAGATACAATATCTTGGGAACATCCCAACCATGAGGGCAGAAGGAAAGAAGTCCCAGAATCAAACACTGGTAGTGCTATATAGCATATTCTAGCCTCACCCTTTCTCTATCTCACACTGAAGGATTTAGAGCTAGAAGTAACAATGATGGTCCAACCACCTCATTTTATGGGTCAGGGTTCTTAGGGCCAGAGAGGAAACAAGACTTGTCCAAGGTTACTTGGGCGGTGAGGAGCATGACTAGCATTCAAACCCAAGTTTCTGTCATCCAGTTTAGGATCTTTCTATCACACTATATTGTCATCTTGATCTACATAGCAAGAAAGTTTTGAGCTAGGCCTGGGGAAGAAAGGTGGCACAGTCCCTACTTCCTCCAAGGACCTTACAATATACTATATATGTTTATCCACATATTAGATGTATTTTATGCAAACAGCGTTTTCCTGAATACCAAGAACACCATACAGAGTAGCTCTTTAGTGAATATTGGTTGAATTGAATGTCAAAGAGATCTCATTTTTAGAGTGGTACCTATATATTTGATGTTGGCTGATATGATGATCATATACTATGATTTAATCTAATTCTTCTCTTAATTTTCTAGGAAAGCTTCTGAATCCCAACCTCATTTTGGTAGCACTGAGTGGGAGGCTTTTTGCCTATGATTTAGCCATAAGATCTCTGGGAGACCCAGAGACCCAAAAATCTAATCCCAGCAAAGGTGATTAGAAACAAGGAGGGTAGAAGAATTAAATGGTCTTTTTGTTTGTTTGTCTGTTTGTTTGTTTTCAAAAAGACGCTTAAAGCCTAGTATGAAACACTTGGGGGCATGTGCATAGGGCACATAGGAAACATGTGAAACCAAGAGGTTCCCTAGAACCTCTGGTGTTATGGTCTTCAGGAAGAGGGTGGGAGGATCACTGCTGGCCTTTCAGAAATCCAGAAAAACTTCAGGAATCATATAAAGGGACCTACAATAGCTCATAAAGAGTAAACATGGTTTTCTCTCCCTCTCCAGTGAGTCTTTTTTTCCCACTTGGGTCTTAATGTCCTCCACCTCATCATGAATGCTTTTTTTCCTCAGAAAGGAACTGAACTTGGGGTTGTTGTCAAAGCAATATCCTGATACTTCAAGTCACTTCATCTCTTGCATAGGATCTTCTTACATAGTCCCCTAAAGATTTGTAATGCCTTCCTGTGGTTCAGGAAGACAAACACATTGTGAAGATGTTAACCAGATAACTTCCTCCCTTCCTGTCAGATCTGTACTCTCCAAATAACTCACAGTAATAGTTAAGAGCAAAACATAGTTTGTATGCCTGCTCACATTTTGCCATTTGCCTTTGATTCAGGGATCATGTTGGTCATGCTTAGGAATTACTGCTTAGGATTTCCTCTTTCTCTAGAAGGTCATATCTCTGAGTTCTTAAACTTGTGGTTAATTGTGAAGCAATCTCCAAATCATCTTTTTCTCAATGGAAGGCTAGGTGATTGGATCATGCTGTCTAGTCCATACCATCTCTTTTAACTAGGAAGCAGAGTTTCAGGAATTATATTTTCCATTCCTTTGTGGGCAATTAAAGTCTGCCTGTATACATGCTTCTGGCCCAAGATAGTCATTAATGCTCCTTAGGGTGTGGAGGTGAATAACAAATATCTCTGTACATAAGGAAGAAAGACAAAAGAAAAGAAACCAAAAGAAAGATTGGATTTGTCAGCTTACTTTTATAGATCATCCCAATGGACTGTTCCTACCAACAAAATCCATCCTCCTAGTAGTTTGAGCCAATTCTTAAATAAAACCATAGATCTAGAGCTAGAAAGCAACTCTGAGGTCATTTATCCCAACCTCCTTATTTTATATACGAGGAGATTGGGTCCCATAGAGATTAAGTAACTTTCACAAAGTCACACATGTATTTGGCAGAAGAACTGGGATTTGAACTTGGATCCTTTAACTCCAAGTTCAATGCTCTTTCTACTGTATCACATTCATCCTGGGGCAGCCCTAGTCACTGACATTTAATCAGGAAATGTTGGTGAACTCTTAACAAGGTGTTAATAGGTGTATCTGTATCTTGTAAGGGGAGTCATGGGCAGCAAGTCAAACAATGGCCCATTGCCCTATAAGTTTGGCAGGTTGGTCAGGAAAACTCTCCTCATAGGCCCCTCATACACTTCCCCTGGTTAAATATTTACTGTCTCAGCAATCAGACTAAGCTTCCTTTGGGCATTTTGGTACGAATTTCCAATTCTGGAAACCTAGTGAAGTTCCAACAGTTGTCATCTTTTTAATTGCTTTCTGCAGTGACTTGATGGGGCAGCAAGGTAGTTCAGCGTCAGCCCTGGAGTCAGGAAGACTTGAGCTCAAACCTGGCCTCAGACACTTACTAGTTATGTGAGCATGGACAAGTCACTTAACCCTGTTTGCCTCAGTTTCCTCATCTATAAAATGAACTGGAGGAGGAAATGGCAAACCACTATAGTATCTCTGCCAAGAAAACCCCAAATGGGGTCATGAAGAGTTGGACAAGACTGAAACAACTGAATAACAACAAGAAGTGCCTTGAAATTAATCCTCTCAGTGTCCATAGGTCTTAAACACTCTCCAAACTTACCATGTTTTGTGCCTGGAGGGCAGAGGGAAGAGATCCTCCCGAAGCTTCCGTTTAAGAGGGTGGGGGAGAGGGCCGGTGAGCCATCTCTTCATTGGCTGCCCAGATCATTTCCCCTTCCCCTTTATTCAACTTCTTTTTGTGCACTGTCTTCCCCCTTACAATGTAAGCTCCTTGAGGGCAAGGACTATCTTTTTTTCTATTTGTATCTTCTGAGTTTAGCACAGTGCCTGGCACAGATTAGATACTTAGTAAATGTTTACTGACTGACACTTCAGCTGGAGTCTGATCAGAGCAAAAGATAGAGCACCTCTCACCTGATTCATTCTGTACACTGCACTTTTCTATATCAGGAGGAAGTAGAAAGAGTGCTGGCTCTGGAATCAGGAGACCTGGGTTCAAATCCTGCCTCTTGTCCCTACTACTATGTAATTTGGGCAAATCACTTATCCTCCCTGGGTCTCAATTTCTTCATCTATAAAATTAAGGGGTTGGACTTTGATGTTGTTTCCAGCTTTGGATTTATAATACAGACTAAAGATAGTTTAAGTTTTTTTTTTTGGCTACCATATAACATGTTGGGCACCTAGGTGGCACAGTGGATAAGGTGCCAGGCCTGGAGTCAAGAAGATTTATCTTTCTCAGTTTAAATCCAGCCTCAGCTGGATTAAATCCAGCCTTACTAGCTGTGTGACCCTGGGCAGGTCACTTAACCCTGTTTGCCTCAGTTTCCTCATCTTCTGAAATGAGCTAGAGAAGGAAATGGCAAACCACTCCAGTATCTTTGTCAAGAAAACCCCAAATGGGGTCATGAAGAGTAGGTCATGACTGAACAACAACAACCATGAGGGAGGCTGGTACTAGAA